ATTTGTTTGATTTACTCGGGCCTTGGACTGCAAATTCATGAAAAAAAGTATCACTTTCAAAACTAATTGTAGGTACAAATAACTATTTTGGGATGTGTGGTTTTCAAAACGTCCAGAAAACGCAATATTGGCATATCGAAAATCTATCACGATTACAATACTTTTTAGAGTGTAGTCGACAATTAAACAATTCGAGAAAAAATTCGAAGACTTATTTTTGTGAAACTTTTAAATATTAACGGCCATCTCACCACCAGGATGGTTGCGCCGCCTCATCTCGCTACCTTGCAAACATTTGAAGGTTTCTTTGGCTTTTTTACAGTGATAAAAAGGCGCGAAATTATTTTTGGGAAGTATTTAAATATTTATGGTATCATGGGACTCAACACGAGGGCATAGCTTCGAGGGATAAGCCGCCTTACGTTTCTACCTTACAAACTCTTGAAGGTTTCGGGCCACGGCATCTTGCTACCTTAAAAACTACTGAAGACTCTTTGGCTTTCTTTACAATGATAAAAAATTGACGAAATTACGCTTGAAATGTGTATATTTGTCAATTAAAAACAAACAGCGACGTTTTTAATATATTTTCCGAGACATTTTCATTCATATGCGGTTTAAATAATCGCTATTCTGCATAGCTTCTCCGAGAAGCCTTCTCATGACGGACGAGATGAATATTTGATTCGTCTCGCGACGGAGCGTCTTGCGACGGAGTAGATGAATTTAGTCCCGTGCAAAAGATACAATCATACCAAGCGATCAGATACTTCAAAAATGATGAACGAATTCCAGGTAATTATATAAAAATTAATATAAAGTAAAGCACACCTTGAAGTTTGAACCGCGACTTAAACTATAGCTTGTAAAAAGACTTCGAATGCGAAATCCAAAATCATTTCATGAATTCTGTAAGAATTCCATGATTTCCAAAAGACAGAATTCGACAATGGTTTGCTCGGTAAAATGTCCAATGTGAAAATTGTGATCTAAACCTGATATGCGGAGGGCCTTTACATCTCCTATTTTTTATTGACGGCATCGTATACTTCCACATTAATAAATTAGGAATGTTGATGATTATTCACTTTATTTTATTAATTATTATACCTACAGGGAATCTTTCTTAAATGTATACATATGGGCTATGCATACTTTTAAAAAAAACAGATCAAACGCATGGAATCATGATACTATTATCTGTTCACCCAACAGATGCAGTTAAGCTCCTCCTAAAAAAATCCCGGCAACTGTGACAGTTATCAATAATAATATAATCAATAATTATAAAATTATAACAATACAAGTATCCTATAAAATTTACATAACAAATACAATATAGAACGAGTTGTTTTACTTCCTCCAGTGACCGAAGAAGATATTGATTTTTTTAGTCTGTAAACAATTGGAGTAGGTACAGAAGCATCAAAAGTATTGCTGTCCGAAACTTTTACATGCACTTAACTTGCTTCAAAATTAATCAATACCGCTTTGTTGCTGCTGTCGCGTCAATATGACACATTCATAAACTACAATTCCCTACGTTAGCCAAAGCATCATAACTAAAATTTAATTTAATCACGTACTCAAAGTTTCACTTACGAAAATCAAATTTGTAACGCCATTTGACTTTTTATACAAGAAACGTGCAACAACAACCAGTTGCTGTCAGTTGCTAAATTTAGTACGCAGGGTTGCGCCATTCGTACCTATCGATGGTGAAAGATCATGGGATTGTTGGAAAAAAAGATGGGCGGTAGAGGAGATCAAAACAAATATTTTAGGCCGAAAATGTTTTGTCTTGGAGCAATATCTTTAAATTTCCTAGCAACTATAATACACAGAAGGATGAAATTAACGGATTTGGATCTTCCTTTTCTGATTTTACCAAAATTTTCCAAAAATTTTCTGATGGTAAAATTTGGTATCTGTGTGTAATTCTATATATATGAAAATAGAGAAACCAAGTCTCAGTTCTCGAAACTTTCAACTGCAGCATTTGACACTCGAACTTTTCGCCACAACAAAACAAATCGAGAAAAAAATCATAAGATTTCTAATTATTATTCCTCCATGCTTAAAATACGCGCCGGTACCAAAAAAGCGGGTAGATATAGCAACACAAATCTCCCGTAATGCACTATTACAGTCCAGTCAAATTAAACCTAAAAATGCTAAATGGTTACAAAAGGTCCGGTAGAAGATTTTATTTTTCCGACTTGTTTAAATCGTAGAGATACAGGAAAAGCCAAGTTTGCCAATGCGACTGACGTCGGGAGAATTTTTGTGGTCAAAAAATGGAATAGAATTAACTTTTACCAATGATATTCTTCCTCATCCTTATCATGATCGATTATAATTACTTATATATCAAGAGCGGATTGCCGGGAAAGGTACTCACAAAAGGCGATTGGGACGTCTAGAAGAAGTATATCCATTGGTGATGGCATAACTTTAAGAGCGAATATCTCGATAAAGATTGTCGGGGGAGAGTACTCACACAATCCTCTGAACGATATAATACCTATCTATTGGTGAAGTCGAACCGATCTTGAAAACGAAGGGTCAGAAGAAGGCACTTATATAATATAATTCCGACGTTTTAATCATTACTACTGCGCTCTTTCGAAAGCAAGTGAATTTAAAAGCGTAGTGACAATAGGTGAATTAATAACATATTCTTCCGAACACTTGGAAAGGAAAGTAAAGCAGACGAGTTTTACTCAACGAAGTCCTACAAATATGACGCCGGCATTATTCTTTTTATTCACGCATTTAGTGGGTGTGACAACACTTCACTTTCTCCGTCTTTGAGCATGGGAAGATGAGATATTGTGAAGTGTTACAAAACAATATTGCGATGAAGGAAATTGTCACAGTTTTTAATAAACCAGACGCCAGCCCTGATGAAATAGCTAAAAACTCGAAACTTTAAATTAGTGTATCTCCTAAACTATACATGTTAGGGGGCCACATAAAATATCAAATTAAAGGTACTTTTATACACTACAATTTTGAATAAAACATGATTTCACCTAAGTATTGCCATTGGCGAGTTATTGTAAAAAAAACGAAAAAAATTTTTGCAGATTTTTGACCACAGAAATTTCTCCCGACGTCAGTCGCATTGGCAAACTTGGATTTTTCTCTCTCTTTACCTCGCTCTTTACCATTTAAACAAGTCGGAAAAATAAAATCTTCTACCGGACCTTTTGTAACCATAAAGTACAAATTGACTGGACTACGACGACCTAAGGCTCTAAGGGGTGGAATTTGCAAAAACATTTTTACTGTGGTTAATGTTATTTAACGAGTTATTTAAGCTCATTCTTTACGTTACCTCGTAAACGGTACATACCTACTATACGTTGAGCCTTTTTTGTTCTGTTTTGTTCTTATGAGAGTCCTATTCTTGAACGTGTGAGAGAGTGAGTGAGTATATGACGTCATGTCGAGCGATTTTCATAACTTGGTATATTCTTGACAATTGACGCCAATTTTTCCAAATTCCAGTGTGCTCTTCAAAGTAGGCGTACTTGCCTTCCACTTCTCCTGTATATCTTTATTCGTAAAATTAGGGATGATACGAAATTTGGTGAGCGAGTGAGTCACGGATGATAAAGTCACACACTCACCGATTTTTCTCGAGCGTTTCAAGAATACGAGTCTTAAGTCCTTTTATGTCAAGAAACCCTTACATAAATTCGAGCTTAAATTTAAAGTCTCTGTTAAAGTATAACCACCAAAATTCAGTAATTCTGATCTCACTATGTTTGTGGTCCGACCAAGAGTTGTTGGATTTTTTGCATTTTGGATTCGTGAATTGGGCAAAGACATTGCCGTGTGAAGACATAAAAATAGGTATACACATGCCAGAAAAAGACGGCACAAATAGCGACATATCGGACGGATTAATTTTTAGCTCAAACACAATAATATAGCTATTTCAAATGATATTTTGTCGATTGAAACAGACAGTTGACGCGCGACGAAGAAGCGCGGCAATCTCTTGAAATCGACATTCAATTTTCGCTCGAATTACACACAAGATTTTTTCTACAAATCGAGAAGTTCACATATTTCCAAAAATTTACATCTTTCATCTTTAAAAAAGGTATAATTTTCCTACCTACGATAAATACTCAAATTTTAACAAATTCGCGGCACACATGGGAACACAATGCTCAATGTGGAACGAATGGAAAAATTTTCCTTTAATTTATTGTTGCGTATTTTTATTTTAAAAGGTCGGCCAACATCCTTAAAACGTCGGGCATGCTCCAACTTGCCACCCCCTATGAGCCTGAGTAGTACCCGTGTAATCTACTGCCCTTTAGATAGCGACGATGTCCACCATAATTATAGGAAATGATAATGTTAATAAATGCCAATTTCGACAGTCTTAACTAAAATAAAATTAATGCTTTTCCATGGTCATCATCTGCTAACAATGTGGTTGGTTTGGAGCGAGTTGGAGTACCTACCTCTACATCTGCTAAAAAGTTGTGGCATGTTCACAATTTCCACATTTTTTTCTGTGTTTCAGCTCGTTACAGACCTTCCCAACGAACAATCAAGTTTTTGCAAACCTTCATCCCTAATGAGTTTTAGCAGAAATCAGAAAACAAAAATCTCTTTTTTACTAAAAAAAAAGATATAAACTCGGAGGAGTAAAGTATTCGTTTGCAGTAAATTAACATATCTTATACACGATATGCATATCTATTCAATCATTTTTTGATTACATGCTTAGCCAAGATCTAAATTTAAACGCGCAGTATTATGCACACTAAGCGGAAAAACGTCATCCGCAATGCATTGGTAGGTACCTATGTACTTGGAGATCGAATCAACTAATAACAGAAAATTCATTTGGTGAAAAATCTGAGAGAAATCACATCCAATAAGGACCACCGCAACTCACAAGTCCGCAAATGGAAAAAGTGTACGACCCCAAATTATAATATTGACAGTGCAGTGCACAAATTATAATTTCCTACCTGAAACTCTTCACATTTCTATTGTCCGTATCAGAGTTGAGTCTCGTCGTTTCGGTCGCCGAATGTACATTGTCTTCCTCCTCAGAAGATGCATCTTCGGCGGGCAAGACATGGAGGACAGGTCCATTTCCTACGTTTTCGTTATTCACCTTATTCACTTGAAACCGGGTACGTTTGTCATTTAGATCGCCCAGCTCCACTACGTCTAGGGCCTTCGATTTTCCGTTGGTCATCGACATCTTCAACACAAATGAATAACACGACGGGCGAAAACGTCAAATTTAAATAAACGCACTCGATTTTAAATAAACATATTCTTTTATATTAAACGTTATCTAGTTTACTAACTTTGCGGTAGCAATAACCCACGTGGGATTTGATTACATACGGCTACTACATACGACTTGCTCGTTGTACAACCTGCAACTGATTTTAATTTAGGTTCTCCAAGCGCGCTTACACTCGACAATTCTCGTGCGGTAGCTTGTTTGAAAAAAAAAACGCGCTTGTCTTTTTATCCTTATTCGATGCGCCCCCTGTTTGATACTCATTGGTCTTTGAAGTCTCGGAAGTATTCTTGTCAGACACTGCATTTCGGATTTGAAAAATTCAAACACAGAAACGGATTTAGCGTAGGGCACCAAAGAAATTTACTAAAGGGTAAATTCCAGCGTTCCAATGTCACTGACGAATGACTATTGATATATTAGAGTCATATGCATAACACCATTCGAATTCTGAAATGATATCATCCTCCCTGTGGCCTTGTTCGTTTCGTTCTGTGTATTAATAGATGAATCAGTGGTTGAAACCATGAAAAGAGACCTTTTACCATCCATTAACCTCATTATGTTGGTGATGTATTTAATTTTGCTTTTTGTGGAAAAGATCAAACACGACCAAACGTATTGTGCCCCTCTTGTGATAACAGAAGCTAAAAATTTACCCTTCAGTATACGAAACTGGTTTGGCCCCTAGAGAGTCGGCCACACCCAAAAATACATTTATTACCTAATACCACAGACAACATATACTATTGTCTGTGCTAATACATTGGTGGTGCGTTTTGCACAGTTTATACTACTAAAATGTTTAGTTTGACTTTAATCTCGTTTTTAATAGAAGAAGCGATTTTAAGGGTGCTTTCCTCCTATGTAGATCTGGAGTTTAAATTCTTTGGGGTTGCTCAATTTGTTGAGTGAGAAAGTTTCCGGCGCCAAATGGAAATAACTAGAATTTCGACGGTCCTGCTGAAATAGTCCCGCTCGTAATTAAGGTTTCACGCAGGGTTTGCTTTTGCTAAGTCTTTGGGAAATTCCGATTAATATGGAATTGAGATTTTCTGTTAAATTAGGGCTCTGGTGCCGTGGGTAAAACAAAGGAGTTCTATTGGTGGAATACGTTTGCATTATAGATGGGCGTAGGTCCAAAAAAATAAGATAAAAGAAATAAATTCGTAGAGATCTAAATGTTGTGCAATAGGCTGGTAGCCGCGAGAACGGTCGCCTCAAGCGGTCAACAAAGTTTTTTAAGCGAATCACCCAAAAGTTTGCACGAGGTAGTTCTTTTAGTTGGTGCTGGAAAGTTTAGACTAAGCCGTAGAGAAGTACGCGTCCAGCTCACGATACAAAAAGCTTGCGTGGAAGCGCAACAGTAAAGAAGATTTTCTTTCCTATAGAAGTATTGGACTGTTAGTGGCGCTTTAAGCAAAGAGTACTATGCTATGGGTACTCTTTGTTTTAAGTTAACACCTGTAAGTCACTACTGGATGATTTTACCTTTTTCTGAAAAGCAGTTCCGTGAGTACATCAGCAAATTTCCATATCAAAGACCTGTACTCTGACGGAAAGAATTACGTTTTGTGGGAAGACTTAGTGTTTTTAAATTTTAAAATAAAGTTAAAATCCGGTGACTAATAAAGTTGCATTGCAAAATAGGCCCTGATTTGCTAATACGAACAAGAGCATTAAATTTTAAATATCCCTAAATAAATGGATCAATAATTAGAAGGTAATCTGTCGCCGCCGTTCAGAACATTTAGGTGTAAATATTGCTAAAGACATTAGTGTCTACCGTCACGGATGGACCATTAACCCTTGAGGAAGCATATTTTAACTTTAAATGAAATCTTCAGTCAATCAAAAAATTAGTCACCCCACTACGAGACCAAAGTTTATATACCTACAACGCCTAATGCGCTGAAAGAGCATTAGGTCCGTGGTTTTTATGATTATGACAGTGAACTTAAGGCTCCTCTGTAGTCAATCCGCCATATTGGAAAAATAGCTAAACTTTCTTATCAAATGCTGCTTTTGTAGTTGAAGTCTAACAAATTCTCGATAGTGGATATTCTTTGCAATGATGAAAAGAACGGCGGTACTTAAAAAAAGTTGAAATATCGGTCTTAGTTTTTTAGGAAGATCGATGAATAGAAAAATCGTTTTTCGTAAATAACAGCCGTTGTAATGGAAGTAGAAAAACCTACAGCACCAATTTGGAAATCCGACAGTATTTCCTACGGCGGTACTTAAAGATATTATTTCCATCTATTATGATAAGGCATATATTTTAAAAAAAAGGTCCGCGATTTTCAGAAAAGAGCGCAACGTTAACATAAAGGTAGGCAACTCAAATGGCACTTAAAACCCCTAAGGCGATATCTCATTACTTGCAAGGGAAAACAAAAGAAACTACCTGGCACATTGTTACCTCGTTCCTAATGACATGGATTAGGTAAACTACTATATAATTAGCTAATGTTCATTTTTTTTATAGAAATACTTTTTTATTTCTAAAACATATTTTATTCGATCTAGATTCTTCAAAAAATTTGTTTAGGAAGGTATCAAATAGTAGCCCCATTTTTTAGCTCAACCCAAGCGGAATACGGCCACTTATGCGGTTTACATACATATTGAGACGATTATACCTAAAAATTTTTGGCTTCTTGTCGCAATTCAGGTGTGGTGTAAAAATGTCACTCCTTTTTGATTTTTTAACATTTTGTACCACGAAACTGCTTATCTACGTGCATAAAAACATTAAAAAAATGTGGTAGGGCAGGACAAACGCATGACCTCGACATAAGGAGAAAGCACAATACCGGAATTCCTATGTAGTATCCTTACAAAATACTTCATGAAGTCTCAATCAGCATCAATTCAATAGTAAAGTTTGTCAAGTTAGCGAGACACCACCAAAATGAATATCCGTATCAAAAAAGCGGCCTAAATTCGTTGGTTTTCCCGGTAATTAGGGGCAGATATAAAAAATTCTGGCACTTTTAACAAATTTCGGACTATTTACTTTTTCCGTTTGAGTACCTATGCATTTTGATAGAGTCCCGCAATCTTCACATCAACTTTGCTGCGATTTTTTTAAATTTCCATTACTATGTGGCAACAGAAAACGGTATGTTCTATACTGTGTACTTATTTTTAGCGGATTTTTTTAAGAAATAAAAAAATGTGTAATTGTTTGCGTTTTGCCCGTCCGCCCGGGCCCACTTTTTTTGAACTACTGTTGGGGGAATGGTAATATATATAGTCTTGGAATTTTTTGCAATAAGTAGCCTATACCTTGGAGGTCCGCCAGACGGCCATCACTTTTAGTTGTTTTAAGGTCCCCCTCTTTTTTACTCTTATCAAAATAGGGAGTTCGGGGAAAAGAGGGACTAGTTTTATCCATACTCTAATGAAAGGTCTCAACAAAAGGAATCCATTTCTACCTCTTCGACGCTTCATCGTGATCGGTTATAATTTTTATTTCTATAGCGAATTGCTGGAGGAGGTACTCACAAAGGGTGATTGGGACGTCTGGAACAAATATATCCATTGGTAAGATCAACACGATAAGAGCGAATACAGTTTGTCGGAGGAGAGGCAGAATGAATCGTCTGGACGAGACATCTATTCGCGAAGGGGAAGCGAATATCTTGACAACAGAAGAGCCTTATAACCCAACTATTTACTAAGCTATTTCGGTTTTAAAAAATGCACTTTATCTGCACAAGAGTTGTGCGCAATTTATAATTGTTTCAATATGATCTGATATCAACAAGGATGAATACTAGTTCGTCAAAAAAATAGAGGAATGCCCAATTTCAATTTTCACTACTGAACTAAGTATTTAAAAACCGAATTTTGTGTACCGCACAAACGATGCCAATTCGATTGCTTGATGTCCATGTGATATCTCATGCTTTTTGGTGCCGAATATGGTTCTACCCATAAAAATGGGAGATAGGTTGCAATGACAATATGTATAGACATGTGTTATTGTGTTAGTTACATTTTTACCAGCAGTTTTGTCTGTTCGGAAAAAACCTTCATGGGCCGTGCATAAATAAAAAGAATACGCTAACTGTACAATTATTTTTTGAAAAGATAAGAACTTTTTTTAAATAAGTAAATAATAACCTAGTAATTATAAAAAAGTCTAAATCAAATTTGATCAGTAAAATTGATTAAAACAAATAACAGGAACTAATAATAAGGTGTAATTAACAATGTATTGGGAAATGTTAGCAAACATTGCGAATTTTCTCCACTAATTACCTTAGAATCAAGTAATTTACAGAAGATCTCATTATAGACAAATGGAGTAAAAGGAACAGGTATTTGTGTAGCTTCATTCAAAAATTGACTACACCTTTTCAATAAACTTGTTTACATAATTAGTCATCATCAGATCATTATACCTGGTCTATTGTGTTTAACAATAAATGAAGAAAATATGCAAAACTGAAAAGGATAGAATTATACCGTTTTCGCACTCCACGAATATACGTAGAAATGTGTGTTGTTGGTGGTCTAACCAATTGCAATAACATTGAAATGCAAATTGACTACAGAGGAGCCTTAAGGTAAATATTTGATTTTATGTTTAGATTCAACCGTCAGCCGAGTTCTTAAGAGTGTTTGAAGCTTATAGTTTAGTAATCGAATCAAAATCCGATACAACTGAATACCGAACGATCCTCGAGATCGATTTTGGGCTGTAACTTATATACTAGCATTATGTATATTATATACAATACAATGCAATGATACTAGTCAACGGACAAGACAAGCGTGCTAATTTGTGTGTGGTGATCTACCTTCCGAAATACAAGTTTTCGGCTGTTGGGTTCATCCCACCTTTTTTCACGTTACTGTTTTAAATTCTGAATTTTACGTGGACCATAAACAGAGCATTTCTTTCGTAGCGATTTGGTGGGTGTTTGATAAAGCTGATGGCAGTGGTAGTTTCAATGTGCTGCATGTTAATTAAAAATCGCCAAAACGATCGCCTCTCGTTTTTTTGAACGCTCTGTAGAACCGGAAACACTGGGACGTTTTGAGTCTTATCTGCTTGCACACATTTCGGTCTTTTTCACTATGAAGCGGTACATGTTAAAAATGTCCCATACTCACAAATTTGCAAATTCGGAAATCAGAACCAAATCTTTCTATGCTTAAAGCTTTAAAATGCCACGTCTAAGA